CTGCTATAAACATGGGTGCACATATATTGCTATGATATGATGTTTTGAGTTCTTCTGGAAAAATACCCAGAAGGAGAACAGCTGGATTGAGTGGAACCTCTAATTCTAGTTTTGTGAGGAATCTCCACACTGATTTCCACAGTGGTTGCACCAGTCTACACTCCCACCAACAATGAAGACGGTGTTCCTTTTCCCCCACAGCCCCTCCAGCATTTGTTGTTGGTTGATTTCTTGATAACAGCCATTCCTTCTGGGGTGAGATGGATTCTCAGTGTTGTTTTAATTTGCATTTCTCAAATGACCAATGACGTTGAACATTTCTTCATATATTTATTTGCTGTTTGTATTTCTTCCTCTGAGATATGTGTATTCATCTCAGATGTACATTTTTGATTGGGTCTTTGAATTTTGGAGGCCCCTGATATTTTTAAAATTTTACTTATGGTAAAATATATACTGAAATAACTCTCATAACCACCAGTTTTTATTTTAAAGAGAATGAAAAAATCAAAATAACAACAACATAGACAAAAACAAAATAACACAAAAACAAAAATGATACAGGGTTTCAAAACAATATGATAGGAATTAACAGTGGTTGTTACATTTTATATTGTTATCTTCAACGAAGTTGCTCGGATACCAGATGTAAAAACGCAAGATTAATCAAACTATTAAATAAAATATAATATAAAAAATTAGAAACGATACAGAGTTTCACTAAACAAGATGGTAGAAATTCACCAATGACTGTTATGTTGCATACTGTTGTCTTCAAATTAGTTGTTCAGATTATCAGATATAAGCATGAAAAACTGGTCAAAAAAATTTAAACTTAACCACCATTTTCAAGTACACCATTCAGGAGTGTTGAGCATGTTCACACTGTTGTCCTGAGATGGTACTTACATCGTCTGTGTTCAACCTGTTGTCACATCGAAAACCACAAAACTTCTGGAAAACACTGCCTACTTGAGACACAGAGAGAGTGAAAACAGCAGTGTTGTTTTCATGTTATTAGTGAAACAGTTGTGACCGTGTGGACACTTTGAAAGGCTTTGGGGGACCCCAGGGTTTCCCGAGCCACACTTTGAGAACTGGGCGTGGTGGAGTACGCCTGTAATCGCAGCACTCAGGAAGCTGAGGCAGGAGGATTATCATCAGTTTGAGACCAGCCTGAGCTACAAAGTGAGCTCAAGGCCAGCCTGAACTGCATAGCGAGACAGTGCCTCAAAAAGACAAAGAAAAAAAAAAAAGGGAACCAGTACTTTAGTACAATGCCATCATTACAAAACTTCTATGGTGATCAGCATCCTTTGCTCCTTAAGTTAATTTTGGGTGGATGGCATGATAACATATATAATTCAACATGATTCCAAGCTGGTTTTCATGTCTGAGACAGGAAGTGAAGGCTGAGAATGGCTTAGGCTGGATTTTAGCAGAAGCCATAGTGGGGATGGAGAAATGGATCTAGAGAGATGGCCCTAAGGGTGGGCATGGGACATAGATTGTGAGGTGGACCGAGCTGATTTAGCTAAAGTCAGAGAGCTCAGCAGTTCCGTCTCCCCTGGAAATCTAAGAGGCATCTGAAGAGTTGGGGGTGGTGGCACATACCTGTAATCCCAGCTTCTCTACTCAGGTGCTTGAGACAAGAGGATCCCAAATTTAAGCTCAGCTAGGCAACTCAGTGATGCCTCAAAATAAAAAATACAGCACTGCCTGGCAAGTGCAAGGTCCTGAGTTTGATTCCTGGTACCAAAACACATAAACAAAAAGATAAAAAAAAGAGAAGCCAGGTATGGAGGCACATGCCTGTAATCCCAACACTCTGGGAGGCTGAGACAGGAGGATCACAAGTTTGAGACTAGCCCTGGGAAACTCAGCAAGACCCTGCCTAAAAATAAAAAAATAAATAAAGCGCTGGAGAGCCAGGTGTGGGTGCGCATGCCTGTAATCTCAGCACTCAGGTGGCTGAGACTGGAGGATTACTGTGAGTTCAAGGCCAGCTTGGGCTTCATATGAGTTCAAGGCCAGCCTGCACTACATAGTGAGACCCTATCTCAAAAAACCAAAAAAATAAATAAATAAAAATAAAAAAATAAAAAAATAAATAAAGGGCTGGAGATGTAGCCCAGTCCAAAGACCCCGCGTTCAATTCCCAGTACTGGGAACAGGGTCAGTGAGCCAGTTGCTCACTGTACCACCCAGCGCTGACTAACTCTGCACAGGTGGACCCACCTGCCTGGCCTGCAGTGGTGGGAGAGGGCAAGGCCAAGGTCACTGTGAGGAAGGACTCTGGACGCTTCAACCTCACCTGAGCTGCCTTGAGGTCTACGCACCCAGAGCCCAGTTACGGCAACTTGTTCTTTGGTCTGTCTAAGGTAGATAGAGGAAGTAAAAAAGAGACAGGGAAAATCACAATTGTAAAATTGTACTTTTAGGAAAAACTGGCTTCAGGACACAAAATTTACCCAACATTGTAATGCCTTTTCCCCTTCCAGGAAACTCATTAAAAGGAAAAGAAACGAAAAGAGGAAAGAGAGAGAACAGATGAAAAGAAGAAAAGAGAAAATGAGAGAGTAGAAATGAAGAGAAAAGAGAAGACAAAAAAAGAAAAGTAAAGAGGAAAAAGAAAAATTATGAATGTTCTTGAGGACACAATAAGCCTGCAGTCTGGGGCCCTGATTTACACCTTTGAATCACTCTTCCTGGTTCAGCCCTCTACCCTCAAGGCAGTAGCGCTCTTAAGCAGGCAGCATCTCTGTAAACTGTAAGCACTCAAATGGCTTGCATACTAACCTGGCCCACCAAGCCAGCAGCTTGAGCTACAGTAGGAATGCACACCCCGGATTATCCGACTTCAAGGCACCCAAGGCCACACCCACCACAACCCCAGACTGTGATGCCTTTTGCACACACACACTCCTCTGAGTGTGCATTTCTTGCTAGTAAACTTCTCCACGCCTCTCCCTGCTGCCTCCTGCCATCCTTTTCTGGATGCAGCTCCAGGGCGAGCTGAGCATCTTACTCTCTCCCCAGACCCACAGCCTCAGCACACTCACGTCTGTGCTGGAACAACCTCCTGTAGGCGTCTGTTTATGGCTCCAACTTTATTATATATAAATTCCTTCAGGGAGTGGACAATGGCTTAATTGCTTCTATATTTTCCGAGGCACCTAGAACAATACTAAGGTCTCAGTATATATTGATGCGTTTATTAGGGGATGGGTTTTCAAGGGTTCTGTTCTTTTTTTAATAGTCACATGAAGCAGTGGGAGCAGAGAAGGAAAAAAGAAATCTGTAACTGGTGTGATCAGTGAGTCGTAAACACCACTGCTTTCGCTGGCTGAACTATCAGAGTCCCCTGTCTGAGGGGCTGGAGCCAGAGAGGCAGGTGGAGGCCCTTGGGAAACATGAATTCATCCCTGCTCTCATCCCCGAGGCATTCTTCCGTGGTGTGCTGCTTACAAAGCAGGTTCATGTGCTGTCTTGTTTCATCCCTGCAGTGACAAGTGCGAGTGGACCTGTGTGCATTTCAGACACACTCCCCAAGTAACCACCAAGTTCTGGCAGGAGACTGTGCTAACCCAGAGAGGCTGTCTTTGTGGCATTAACTGTGTGGAGGGTGCGGTCCAGAGCTGTGCTGGGCAAGGGTGCCCTGAATGTGATCCCTTGCTGTTCCTGCCTAAGAGGTTGGCACCACTGTGAAGACCACTTGGCTAGGTCTCCTTGGCAGCTGCCATGCTGCCCAGGTGACCTTTCCCCTGAACTTGGGGTCGGTCCCCTTGTGTGACAGCAAGGGTGGTGGGGAATGTGCTTGTCAGCAGCCCCAAGTGTCGGTTGCTCTGGCAGCAGGGATGCTTTTCAGTGTAAATCAGCGCACTGGCATCTTCACTGAATCCGTCCATCTCCTGGAGCTTTGTATCTGTCCAAGACTTCAAGTCCTGTTGGCAAGACAGATGTCTGGTTAGCAAAGTGAGGCCCCAGCCCTGAATGGTGACAAGGTCTCAAGATGACCCCAGCCACCAGGTGAGGCCCTGCTGGGGGCAGCCAGCTCTCCCCAGGCCCTTCCTGACCTCCCCAACAGCCCTTCCCTTCAAGGGACACTGGGCACTGGTTGGGGTGTGAAACAGTGCAGGAGTCCCTTGGCAGAGAGGAGGTCCTGGCTGTCCAGAATGAAGCTGCTACTGGCAGAGGTGGCTGTGAAATGGTGCTGGTGATTGTAACTGCACCAGGGACCCGGCTGATGCCATAGGCCAGGATGGAAGGCTGTACAGAATCCCGCTGCCCAGGGAGCTTGGAAAGGTCACTGGACCTTGCCCCCAACTTTGGAGCAGGCCCGTGGTGGGTCGAGCTGCAGCAGCTGGGAGACTTGCAAGCCAGAGCTCAGGTCAGTGCAGCCTGGAGCTTGCACTCAGCCTGAGGGAGGACAGGGAGGTCTTGGGGGTCTCCGGAAGTGCTGTGTGGGTCCTGAACTCCAGAGGCCTAACTGGACACTTCCACACCAGGAAATGGAGGCTTAGTCTCTGGAGCTGGGAAAGTCCTGGCCGGCAGTGTCTGTTTATCAGGGAAGCTGAATCAGATGAAACTACCTCCTAAAAAGCTCAGCTATTTGTAGAATCCCATCCGGCCAAAGCCAGTCCCAGACGCCTTCCTCTTTGGGGGAATTCCTTCAGGGGAGAGGGCAGAGGTTGGCTCTTTCCTAGAGACCGAAACTCAGCTGAGGTTTTGCCCATTTATGGACTGAAGCCCCTTCCCCTCCTAGGGTGACTCATTCCCAGCCGACTGGATGCCCCTGGAGAGGATGGGGAACGGAGGAGAAGGTGGGATTAGCGATTAACGCAGGCAGGAGAGGAGACCACTGAAGGGGTGGGGGACTCGCGGCAATTGGGCGGTGAGGGGAGGTTTCTGAGTCACGAAGAGGCAGAGGAAAGAGAAGAAGGATTAATGTCCCCCAGAACAGCTTCATACCCGGCAACGCCAACTGTGCAGAGACAGAGGTCCCTTTGAGATATCACCTGGAGTGATCCTCAAGCTTCACTGCAATCAGATCCAACTGCCAACCGGACAAAAAATGAAGATTCCCAGAAGATACTTGCTCTGACCATGAATGCTCTACTAGCCTGGCCTCTGCAGTCTGAAGCAACTCACAACTCCTCTGCAGGGGCTACTGTCACAGGCAAAGCGATGGGTCAATGGGGACATTTCTAATGTTCTTACAAAATCTGAGAAAATCTTTAAAAACACATGACCATAGACTTTCAGAGCTAGAGGGTCTTTAGAAGTCTCAGAGCAGACAGAGAAACTGAGACTCAAGAAAGTTAAACTATGTCTTTTCGAGACAGTGTCTCGCTGAGAAGTTCAGACTGGCCTTGAGCTCACTTTGTAGCCCAGGCTGGTCTCGAACTTGCAATGATCCTCCTGCCTCAGCCTCCCCTGTGCTGGGATCACAGGTGTGTGCCACCTTGCCCAGCCTGGAAAGTTAAACTGTGTAAAGGACCACTTTTCCCCCACTTTCTCCTCCCATCTTTCCTAATCAACATATCCTAGAATTCTGTTGTTGCAGGGTTTCATTACACAGCTCAGGCTGGCCTTGAACTCACTGCGTAGCCCAGGCTGGCTTTGAATGCCCAGTGATCTTCCCGCCTCAGCCTCCCGAGTGCTTGGATTACAGGAGCAAGCCACCAGGTCCAGCTCCAGTCCTAGAATGTTTACAGCAGGAAGCAACGTCAGAGATCAACCAGTCAGATTTTTGACCCAAAGCAGAAATTCCAGAAAAATTCCCAGATCTCTATCACTAACCCAAGTCTCTTCTCCCAATTCCAGACACCTTGTATCACTTATCAGCTTGGAGGTCTCAGCACCCTCTCCTGAGCACAAGGTTAGCCCACACCTCCACCACCTGCAAGGCTCCCCTTCCCCAGCGCATGGACGCGCCATCCTTCATGGATTTCAGGCCAAAGCCTTGGAGTTACTCTTGGCTCCTTACTTTCTTTCACACACCTCATCTAATCCATCAGGAAAGCCAGTTGCCTCCCCTTTAAAACATGTACTCAGCACTGGGGAGGCTGACGCAGGAGGATCAGTGTGCACTCAAGGCCAGTCTGAACTATACAGTGAGACCCCCATCTCAAAAAAAGTCCCCAAATCTGACAGCATCTCATTTCTTTACTGCTGTGGCTCTGTCTCCGTTTCCAACTTTGACCCCCAAAACTACTCTTCTCAAGAAGTAGCTAGAGGATGCTTTTTCTATTTTTTTTTCTTCTTGCTTTTTGAAACAGGGTCCACTATGTAGTTCAGGCTGCCCTTGAACTCACTAAGTAGCCCCGGCTGGCCTTAAATTTGCAGCAATCTTCCTGTCTCAGCCTCCCAAGTGATTTTTTTCTTAATTCTAATTTATATCGAATTACTCCTTTGCTCAGAAGTTCCCAGTGGCTCCCTGTGTCACTCAGAATGAAGGCCACAGCCCTCTCATGGCTCACAGGCCCTACCTAATCTACTTCCCAGCCTGTTTCCCTCCTGACTCCATCTTCTACTCTCTCGGTGTACATAGCCCCAGGTTCCCTAGAGGTCTGCAACTTGCTCCTGCTGGGCCTGGGCTCAGGGAGGAGAGGGCATCGCTGTCCCCCATCTGGATTATGTCTCCTCAAACAGCAACACGGCATAGAAATTGTGCTCTCTAACCCTTCGTCCTTGAGCCCCATCCCAATGTTTAGTACTTTTTTAATACTTAGGACCCTTAATTTGCTTATTATATTTGTTGTTTTCTCTTCTTCCACTAGAACAGAAGCCCCTGAGGACAGAGATGTTTGTCGGTTTTGTTCACAAATTCATCCCTAGAGCCTCAACTCTGTGCTCCGCAGGCCTCAGCAAGCACAGACCTCGTGGATGAGCAGCCCTGCATCTCAGCAGCCTCCACTCATTGTTCTGTTTTGTTTTTGTTTTTTTTTTTGGTTTTTCTCTGGTACCGGGAACTGAACTCACGACCTTGCGCTTGCCAGGCAGGCGCTTTGC